CAGACAATCCCGTAACAATATGCGTTTTGTACTGCTGTTACACAGCACAAAACGCATAAAAAACCGTCGATGCACATAATATACCCGAACGAGGAACGGAGAAAGGAATCCCTGGTTTCTCTGGAAGCTTGATGTGCAAGCTGGAAGACATGGCTAATTAAAGGGCAAATGGAATTATTGCAAATCGCTGGGTACTGCTCCAGAAACTCGGCCTTCACTACTAGTATTTTTAAGCAAACCTAACAATCTTCACAGCTTGTTTCTCAAATTTCGTTGTCACTATGAATTACTCTTAGTCAAATTTATTTAAGATTTTGGATCTCTAAAGCAAGTCTATCTAATGACCATACATGCAATTCCACATGAATTTATGCATAACTGTACGTGACAGCCACACACAGTTTGAGACTGAATTTGGTATCTTTAAGTTCTACAAGGACGGGGAACATCCTCTCAAAATTTCAGCTTTCCATCTTTCCTGGTTCCCGAGTTAGCGAATTTCCCACAAGTATTAACACATATTACACAAAAACCATTAACTGATAGATATTTTGATTCTGTCAAATAACTTCGACATTTCATCATGATGCTACTACGGATCAATAGATTTATTAGACAGTGCTTTAAATAAATACATCACATAACATTGAAGCGTGTTGACCGAAGATAAACCCACAGAGAGTAAGAAATAACAAAAGAAAAAGAACCCAATAATAACATTAACAACGGTATAAGACCAATAAGCACCCAAAGAATACAAAGATTTTTAAGACTGCATTGTAAGTGTCAGCAAGTTGCAACACATCTCCACTACGCTGTCACACAAGTTCAGCAAAAAAACAACTGTTGAAAAGGGTGTGCAGCATAGCGTGTAGCAGCTATACAATGTAAAGTACATGTGGGAGTGCCATACATACAAATTATAAGTGCTCTAGCTGAGCCGAGCTGAGTTTTAGTAATTGCCATCTGCTCCGCAACATCAGCGCGCTTGCGTCTGAGGGGTAAGCAGACCCGGAGAAATCGACTGCAAATCGTGTAGCGGACTCGGCGGAGGCGAGCCAAGCAGAGTTTCAGTAACTGCCGGTGTGTGAAGAAGACAAGGTCACTGGTCTAGAATGTCGCGTCCGGATGTGAAGACAAATGGCTCGGTTTCCTCCCAAGCTATGATACTTTTCAAAGAGGGGATCTACCCGTGAGAAGTGAATATTTATGTGCGGAAGAGCTTCCTTATACCATAGTTATCTTCATGTTTTTCATGCTTGCATTGTTAAACGGCACGCCATTACTTAATATCTTGATAACCACATAAGCAATCAGCAGCGTGCTCTACATACCACTGCGATGGGTAACGCATGTTTCTTGTTATAATGCGAAGCGGACGCCTACATGAAATGAGGAATGGAAAACGTTACTCGGGCAAACTTCGAAGAGGCTACGTACAAAAATCAGGGAAGCGACTGGTCGCTCAGGGAACGACAAGCCTGGCTGGTATGACTGCCTGGCTCATGGAAACATCCCAGTAACATCACTAATAAGGAATATCTACACCGATCGTCTGACTGATTTTGACACTGGGTTTTTCGAGTACGATTTAAGTAGCTGAGCAAAACATCAAACAGGTATATCTGCAAACCGGAAAAAAAAATAACAACTATTCAAAAAGCTTCCAAAACCAAAAAAACATATAAGTTTGAATTTAATAACTTCGCCCAAACAGCGTGAAATATTGCGGTTTCTCCGTGCAATTCTGATTGATACACCGATTTGGCAGAGGTTCCCGTGGCTGAAATTATGCAGTGGAATATTTATAGAAATTATAATAACGGCATACATAGCAAACACTCATGCAAGTGCGCTTTTTTGTACAAATTTGCCTGCCGATATTCGCAATTTAAACCGGTTTAGAATGCATTCAGCATGGAAAAGCTGACTGCTAGCTGAGAAATTAGTTCCTTATTTCGCATTTCCGAGAACAAAAAAGCCTAATATTCTGGATAATGATTCAGACCCAAGATATTAGACTGCCAGTGATTAGGCTCCAGATTCAGGATATTAAATACCTCACTTACTTCCCCTAACTTTAACCCCATATTCCACCAGTATGCAAATTAATCTCCCAAATGTCACATTTAATCGGCTGAATTAGCAGATAATGAAATGACGGCTGTATAAAATCTGCAAATTTGGATTGCATGGGTAAATTAGGTCAGGTCTACTACAAAGAGAAAATTTTCAACCTAGAAATCCAGGAAATTCAGGGAGTAGCGATAGGCATTTGAGCCAGTACAGTGCAAAAAAAAAAAAAGATTTTGGGTTAAAAGTAAGAAAAGACATTTTCAGGGGATAAAAAAGGAATTTTTTGAAATGTCGCCTAGCAGCTCCCCTCCATCCCCTCCTCCCCTCCCCCTCCTCTATTTTCAATCAAAAATCCATCAAAGCACTGCATCCCTTGAAGGCAAATTCCCATGCGAGACATTTGCAAAATCTTTACTTTCTATTCATGGCTTTAACGACTTAACACATCCAAAAAGTGCAGAAAGCCTTTTAACGGAATTACCTGTTCGAGCGGAATGCAAAGAGTTTTTGCACCCATCGCCGGTGCGCCAGGCTCACTTCCTTCTTCCCGTGCACTTGCCTTTTTGATTTCCTCTTCACATTCTGTACGGCCACAAAACGGCGAAAGCATGATGTACTTCTGCTCCAGTAACTCTCGGAATTCATCCCAATCCAGAACCACCTTCTTGTGTGTTTCTCGAGCCTCCAGTGCTCTGAAATACACTGGGAGTTATCAGATGCAAAAGCAATTGAATGGCTGCTACCTCCCCTCTTTTCCCTCCTCCC